TGCAGTATTTAGCCCGATTTGGTGTTGAGGGTTGTGGAGAAATTCACACACACTGCCAATTTTCTGGATCCTAATGATGAAAAGAAAACCAAGCAATGCTGCAATGACTCAAAGACACATACAAACTGTTTCCTAACAAGTACGACATACTTCAAGAATATCTTCTCAGGAGATCTGAAAACAATAAAACTTTTTTTTAAGTGGGAGGAGATTTGTACCCTTCCATCAGCTTTTCTTCTTGAACTAAGAAGCAGAACAAATACACTTTGCAGGTACTCTTTGTAGATCTATTTGTAACTTGGCACTCCACCTACAGGTCTTGCGACCACATCTGTCACTTTAAGACAGGAACAAACAGAAGACAGATCATGTACCAACAATCCCAAATTAATAGAAGAACAACTGGAGGCTAAGCACCTGGACAAGCAATTTACACTGTTCCCTGTATGAGGGAAGGAAGGAAGTAAAAACAGACTTTTGTTGTCATTTTTGAGAAGAAAATCTTGTATTTATTCTTACTAAGAAAGCTCTGTATATTTCTGACTCTACTGAGTATTTATTGTGGGTTTGGTGCCCTGTTTCAAAAAATATCCCATTTTCTAAATATCTCACTTTCATGCAAATCATTACATTTTTAATGGAGGCAACAGATAACCAACATGTCTCTTCCCTCCTAACTAATGCCAGTGCTTCTCTCTATGCAAGGTGTCACTGAATATTTTTTCTGCAATCTCCAATACACTTTTTCCAGACCACTGCTAGTCAAGAGACAGATCACTGTCCCATCTCCTGTGACAAAACACAGTGCTCTCAAATGTCATTAGCAGGTGGCAGATTTAACACCAAGTAAATACAACTTCCTACAACATGCTCAGCTGTGAAACTGCCATGTATTCAGAAAAGCGTTCAAAAAGCAATTCGTAAAATCCTTTCAAGAAAAGCCATTTTTTGAGATCATCACAGGAATACCACCACCTCCACCTCAGAAACTCCCTGAAGCAAAAACTAGGAGGGCACACCACCAGGGAATAACAATACATGCTTTATGCTACTTGGTGAAACACCTGTGAGTGTCACAGATGAGGGAACAAGCCAGCTGGACTTGTATCCTAACCACACCAACACGCCCTCACGGGAATTCTTTGTTCTTTATACAAGAAGCATTTGAAAGAATGATTTTAAACTAAAACCTTCACAAGGCAAAAAGTTTCCCAGCGCAAAAATCCTATCTTCAAGGGACATTTCTCTCAAAATTGCTAATACATGCCCGTGACATTCTTTCTCACTGTGGAAAACATTTGCTACTTATCTCCTGAAAAAGGGGCTTCATAGCTAAGAAAGCTTTATGGACCAGGAGAACTGTAGGAGGGGGATTGTCTGCACTGATCAATCAGTAGATGTTATTCTTGATTTGTGAATTCAGAAATGCTATATACTGACATGTAAGAAAATAATAATGCCTCACTGGGTCACATCAGTGGCCCTCTAAGACAGCATTCCAACTAGAGCAATATCAATAGGAGATGCTATTCTGGGACAGCACAGAAACCTAGTCACTTTCTGTGGTCCCTCACCCTCATAGAACCCAACATCCACAACTCTTAAAAAGTGTCAATACGGCAATCACATCTCGAGCATTTACAAGAGGAGAACGTGCAGCACTGTGATCTGTGACCACTCTGCCAATTTGAGGGGAGAACAAATTTAACAAAACATAATTCTTTAAATCTCTTTTTTGCTAAAATGCTGTCACTCAGGCACACAAAACCTTTCCCAACCCCCATGGTTTCACGGCACATTACTCGGACATTGACAAGCATATTCTTCAACATTACTCTTGGCCACTTCAAGTGCTTCAAAATAAAGGAAGAGAGTCCACACTGGCAGCAGTCTTGCTGATAAAAGTTGTGTCATTATTGTTACAGTTACAGACAACCATTTTCACTAAGCTCCAGGAAGAAAAAAATGAAATAAAGGGAAATCCGCACACATACATGGATCATAGTTCACATCCTCCTATGAAGGATAATTTATTCCTCTTCTTTGGTGAAGATAGTTTAGACTGTAAAGTGTTTTGTGTTGTTGGTGGGTTGTTTTTTGTTGGGGTTTTTTGTGTGTTTTTTTGCAGTCAATTCAAAAGAACACAACCAAACACCACACTCACTAATTAGCTTTCCTGTTATATTATAAACATTCACACTAAAATCTAGAAATATGCCTGTCAAGCATCAGCAGTAAAACCATAAGAGTATTGCTAGTCAACATGGTTTCAACTACAATAGAATGTATTAAAAGAAACTAAACAAATGTGAATTAAAAAAAAAAAAACAACCTACTAGCAACAAACTCCAATTCCTCTTTTCAGTAGCTTTTGCAATGGCTAACACTGTGCATGTGCAGCTGATGGGCAAGCTATCAAGATTTTACCAATTCTGTTCTGCATTGGCATGGAAAAGGGCATGAAGCCACGGCATCAGTCTGTATTTATCCATCAGTGCTAGGATCTCACCATTTTAAATGCTCACTAGTACACTTACACAACATACTGTTTCTGGATGTAAACTATTGTTTGCTAAAATATTCCCTTGCAAAAGGTGAGGTTCCCTCTGTTGTCCTTTTCGTAATGGTAACCATTAACAAAACAAAAATAAACAAAATAAAACAGTTCAAAACAGCTCTTTTCTGAAACAACTTGATGAATTTCATCTTAGTTGGGACTGAAGTATTAATCAGCTAGTCAACTTGGGAATCAATTTTTAACTTAAAACTCATTTCATACTATTTTTCTCACTTCTCAGCAAGTCATTTAGTAACTGGAAGGGCAAATATTCATCAAAACATCTATTTTCACTTCATAAAGACCTTTGCTCTATGATAGGATTGTCAGTTGCCAGCACACAATCCAGGATTAAAATGATTAGCTGTTATAAAATCACAGAATCACAGTTGGGAGGGACCTCAAGGATCATGAATCTCCAAGCCCCCTGCAACAGGCAGGGCCACCAACCTCCACATTTCATACCAGATCAGGCTGCCCAGACCAGCCTGTCCTCAACAGGGGAGCTGCTCCAGTCCCCTGATCATCTTCGTGGCTCTCCTCTGGACCCTCTCCAACAGCTCCCTCCCTGTCTTTCTTGTACTGGGGGCTCCAGACCTGGACGCCGTACTCCAGATGGGGCCTCACAAGAGCAGAGTAGAGGGGACAATCACCTCCCTGTCCCTGCTGGTCACCACTTTTCTGATGGAGTCCAGGATACCATTTGCCCTCCGAGCCACTGGCTTCCAGCACACTGCTGGCTCAGTTAAACTTTTCATCCATCAAGACCCCCAGGTCCTTCTCCACAGGGCTGCACTCAAGGACCGCTCCTTCCAGTCTACATGGATGCCTGGGATTCCTGGGATTTTGCCCAAGTGCAAAACCTTGCACTTTGCTGTGTTGAACCTCATCAGGTTCACCCAAGCCCACCTTTCCAGTCTCTTGAGGTCCCTCTGCATGGCATCCCTTCCTTCCACTGTGTCAACCGCACCACTCAGCTTGGTGTCGTCAGCAAACGTTCTGAGGGTGCACTCAATTCCACCATCGATGCCATTGATAACAGTGTTAAAGAGCACCAGTCCCAAGACAGACCTCGGGGGGATGCCGCTCGTTATTGGCCTCCACCTGGACATAGAGCCATTGATGACCACCATCTGTCTATGGCCTTTTAATCAATTTCTTATCCACTGAGTGATCCACCCATCAAATCCATGTTCCTCCAATTTGGAGATGAGGATGTGGTGGGGGACCATGTCAAAGCTGTGAGATGTGAGAAATACTGGAATCCTGGCTGCCAATGAAGACCAAGGCAAAGAACTCATTCAGTACCTAAACAGTTATTCACAATTGTTCAAAATAGATGAGTGAAATGACCTGGAAATACCATTCATTACTGGCATCATACAACATTAAAGCAATCTGAAAATGAGCAGAAATAGTTCATCACTGAAACCCTCTCTCATTCATGTATATGAACTACTTCAAAAAGTCAAGATACCATGCACTTTTTAATGTCATTAATGACTGAGGAAGCTATAACTGAGAGGATCGGGCATAAACAACTGAATTTATCCCTGTTTGAAGTAAAACACAAACCAACATCTCTGCTTCTCCTTTGCCCTTCGCCACCTCTCTTCACTTAAAAGGAATTCTTAGGTTCATGGACCTTAGTTCAGACAGTTGGTAGTGCTTTGTGTACTGATCTCTAGTGCCATCCTCGTTGAGAACAAAAGCAGCAAAAAAGAGCACACAGAATTTAAATCTGAAAACAATGCAAAGAAAGGGAACTGCTAGTGTCCTATCTTTTAAAGAATGAACTACTACTCTGCTACTCACATTTGCATTTACAGTTGTTTCCTATGGGCCTACAATTTGGTACTCCTACAGGACCAAAAATTCACATAAACCAAGTGCCAAAATCTCTCGCCACAAAGAAAGGCCTTTTCTTATAAGTAGAAAACAAACATAAGAAGAAAAAGAAATGAAAAAGAAAAAAAAAAGCTAACTTAATAAAAACACATATTTCCCTTGCTGATTTCCTTTGGGCGCTTGCTTATGTAGCATTTCATGAGTGTAAATGTAGGAAGTGCTCTACATCAATTCTACAGATATTTAAGGAAAATTTACCAAACTCACTGAGCCTGAAATACACAACCCAGCAATAGGACAAAATCCCTGCCAAAATATTCTGATCTAGCTGTGGAATATTCAAGAGCAAACAGACTCAATGTAGCTCTAAATATATTCAGATGCATTTCTGGGCAGCTACAGAGAAATAAACTGTCGCATTAACGAAAAGCTTTTTGACAATTTGTATATTAGCCTTCAGTCTGCACATAAATGTCATTATGTTTATGACCAAGAAGAAATAAACATAAAATTGAAAAATGAATGCTGTTTTATTACAGAATAGAATGCTCCGAAGTCCAAAGGACTTTGCAGACAGCTGCCAAGAAAACAAGGAACAAAGCTAACATGTTTCTATGACAATTTTTTTGTTCAAATACAAACTCTCTCAGTAAGTTTCATCTATTTCAGGAACTCCTTTATTAAGCAACATGCCCTTCAGAAGTGAGTTACTATGCTTTCTCCATTGTGATAAATGTATAAAATGAATTTTGGGTTCTTTGTTTCTTTATTCCTACAGCTCTGAATGCCTCTATCGTCTTTCTAAGAGAGTTTTGTTTGCTGTTTTGTTTATATGTCTTACTCTGTATGAAGCAATCCTTTTCTGGAAACAATGAGGCATGAGCTAATGTGTTTATTATCCCCAGTATCACTGTGTTTTCCTTGTGTTATATCCTTCACGAAAACTCAGGTTATTTTTTCCAGGCAGGATCAGTTTCCAGTTGGACACCACAGCCAGAAAGCTGTCGGTTTTCAGAAGCAGTTCCAAGGACTTATTTTTCAAACACCTTTACCAGCATCTTTCCACTATTTGAATGCCTCTACAGTGATCTGCATAAGGTGAGTAAATCCTTATCTCTGTAGTTTCTAGTGATTTTGCATTATATCTTATCAGAAGAGTTCATTTTTGTGTAAAACATCAGCCACTGAGAAACACTCTGCTGATAATGTGTTGGTTATGACTACCTGTTTAATCTTTCTTCAAAGCATACTCACTGTTACTCCATTTGGTCCAGCTATTTTGCCATCAATGAAAGTTGAAACTCTTCCATTTCAGTAATATTTCTACAGAGGTCCACAACCTGGTGCATTGATCCTGTAATTACAAGGGGATTAACATCAGTTACCAAACAGGAACTGCTAACTATGATACGATAAGCACTGCATTATGATTTTCATGTATGTGCTGCCTTTTCACGTTCTGATGCTTCCGTGTGCTGGCTGACTCAGAGGTAATGCACACACTCTTATGTCATTTGTCACAAACTGCAGGGAAGCAAAACTCTGAAGAATTTACACCTCTCGGTTTCCTCAAAGATTTACTTAACCTCTAATTAGACATAAAAGCAGCTAAAAAGATGCACGTGGGCCTGACAGAGTATGGGACTGAGACATGTAACTTCCAAAATGAAACAGCAAGAAAACCCAAACTAAGGTATGAAACAACAGGCTGGGAATTTCAAGAAGCAAAACCTGTGTAAGACCATCCAGAGCTCATCACAATGACGTTTACTCTGAGGTGTACATTTGTAAATATATTTACATAAGCTTTACTATAGTTACTTTCATAATAGAATATTTCCTTGTTCCCTTTTATCTCACTTGCAAAAGAATAAGATGTGTCAGAATCCACAAAAAAAGAACAGTAAATCTTTAATCTCTAAGGACAAACATTGTGAAGGTTGTCACAAAGTTCTCCAAAAGATTCAGCACTTCAAATCTTAAAACTATAATCCAAGTATGATTCTTTGATTTTATAGATAAAAATACTACAATAGCACAGTGAGTAAAAAGAGGAACTTGAGCAGTCAAGAAAACAGAAATCTAATTCCTTATCAACACAATTCAAAGGAGGAATTGATTAATAATAATATCAATTTCTAGCAGACACAAATAAGAAAATTCCCTTAGGCAACACACAAAGAAAGTGGAATGCAGCACTTCACAACACAATGATTTTAACACAAAGTGTGTACTTACCAGCAAATGATGCATAGAGTACATTTAGGAACAATTTTACTTAAGGAGTAGTCAGTGGGAGTATCACTAATTTTGCTTAACTTCCAGTTATTACTCAACCAAAGCCACTTCAGCATCAGAACCAGCCTTAAGAACTTTTAGGTGGGTCTGCAAAATCATCTTTCAGGCTTCGGGCAGGCAGGCAGGCATTTGTCAGGTGACTAATCCATACAACTTTGGGGAGAAACAGCAAGCCGATTCTCTGTATTTCTAGGGAACGTCATCTATTAATTGGGATGACCATCCATGTGTCTTTGACAAGTTGGCTATATCATAAATCATCTTGAGCTGTAAAATATACTGAGCGGACACCAGGACAACTAGAGCCATCGGCCTTCCTATGCAAACAGTGAGCTGAGCATGGGAGTAGGAATAGAGGAAGACAAGAGCAAGAAAAGTTATACACAACCTTTTCCTTACTTAAGTCATAACCTTATCACATATTTCTGTCCTCTCCCTAGCTCCCTCCCAGCAATTAGCAAAAGAGGATCCATGTACAAACAATGGTTAACCCACTGAGCTTACGTGGCAGTGTTTTGGAAGAGAGGTAAAGGGGGCCCATGTGATTACAGAGCAGTGGCTGCCCCAGGCCAGGCACAAAGGGCCAGTCACTGAAGCTGGTGGTGCCTCTGTATATATATAAGAAATATATATATAGATATATATAAGGAAAGGGGAAAAAGGGGAAAAAGATAAAAGAAACGGCTTAGAGAGCGAGAGAGCATGGGGGGCATGGGGGCATCCTGCAGACACCAAGGATAGTGAGGGAGGGCAGGAGCTGCCGCAGGCAGCAGAGCAAGTATTTCCCTTGCCAAGCAGATGGGTATGCCCTGAGTGAAGCCACAGCCCTTGCAGAGCTGCCACGTGGAGCAGGCTTAGTGGCAAAAAATCGCAGGCAGTGAAGGTCTCACTCTGGAGGCTTACCCTGAAGGACCGAAGGCTGTGCAGAAAAACCATGCTAGAGCAGTTCACCAAGGACTGCAGCCCATGGCAATGCTGTGGAAACCACCCAAACGCTACTCCATTCAGGCCAGAAGCGTGGCCCTGCAAAGAAAGGGCACTTTGGATGAAGGACCGCTCTACAGACAGCCTCTGTCCTTGCTTGACAAATTCAAGCAAAAAAACCAAACACTGGAAGAGACATAACCCCTGCTTCTTTGTCAAAAGGACAGAACATCTACAAACGATTACTTGACACTGCTTTTCACTGATATTTTACACACTCTCACCTTGTAAAGCGTGTTGCCTTCTGCTTATCCTATTTGTACCTCCTTCAGGTACTTCTATTTAACTCTTCGCTATCTAGCTGACACGCAAAAGCCCAAACAACTATCAGACACAAAGGGTAAAGGCAAGTCACAGTGCTGTGAACATCAAATTCCTGATACAAAAATGCAAAAAGCATATTACAACAACCGTAGACAAGTTATCTTAAGTTTTTGCAGATAATGACATTTCACAGCAAAACTGAATACAATGAAATCTACATTTTACGTTGCAATCTACTCTCCTACTTCTAGCTTACTGCTCTCTCTATCCAAATATTCATGTGGCTGTGGATTACCTTCTAGACACTGCCTGTACTGTAGGAGGTTCCTTATTACCTACTGTTCTATAGCATTCTTATATATATATCCTTATAATTAGGGCAGCTGCTCTGCATACACGTTTAAGCAGTCATTTTTGTGCCCAAAGGGAGACAGATGTTAAAAACTAAACAAAGCCAAACCTTTGTTTAATTTTCTTTTTGAGCGCCCAGTTTACAGTAAAGCATTCTGGAAATTTTATTTAGTTACAGATAAGAGCATAAATATTAGTAGTTTTTAACATTAACAGTTTTTAATCCTTATTTTAGGATGAAAACAAGTTCTTAAATCTTGGACTTTACCAACATTACATGTGTGGGCTACCATTTCTCCCAAGGAAAAAGAAAGATTTGCAGGAAGCATGACAGTAAATATGTTAATTTAATTTGCCTCCCACGTTCCTCTAAGAATTCTTCATCACGGTTATGCAACAGGAAGAAACCCGTACAGTGAGATAGCAGCACTGTTACGTATTGTATTACGCAAGTGCAATGTCACCTACTCATCTAAACTGTCACTGAGGAACTCGTTTTCATCAAGCTTTTTCAGATGTGCGTGCCTTGTCCATAATGCACAGTGCTCTTATCAGACAAGCCAGATACCAATCCTTACAGAAACTGCAAAGTTCTAAATCCTAACGATGGAAGCTGCAGCTCGTCTGCTTAGCAGAGAATAAAGCAAATGTTCCCCTGTGCTGATGACATGCATTGCTACTTGCTGTTCAGAGAACACAAAAGGAAATAACCACGAAAAACTGATGCTAAGCAACAAAGACGACATTCACGGAGAGCTGGTCAGCACATACAGAGTGATACACTGATAATCCACCCTGGAACTTGTTCAGGTTTGCAGTTAAGCGTGTGGCTCGTAATTCCCACACAATACAGTTCAAACACCCACCCTGAAATTAGGCAAGGAGGACATCCCTGAGTCTCTTGTAAAGACATAACTCCTTTGGGTCACTTCAGCCTGTTGTTCAAAAACAACAAAAAACCCTGGGGGAATCTATGTCCAAACAGCTATGTAGCACAGACAGCACCAGAGCCTCATATTCATCAGCCTGACATTAAATTCACAGAATGATGACAACTGAATTCAAAGTTTGTTCTTTACTTGGTACTGGACTTTCCTTATTAAAAAAAAAAAAATAAACCAAAAAAAACTATCTGATACAGATATAAGCAAATATAATTTGTCCAGAAACTACCTTCCACATGACTCCTATCATCTGTGTATATGGCAGCAATTTCAAGAAGTATGTTACTTTATAATGCATTACCTATGGGTCTGTTTATGCCGTTCCCATCATTGGCCAGCATACAGTGAAATAGCACCAACCTGCTGCCACTTCACAGTGGGTTGGGGTTATTTATTTACTAGTGTCTTATGCTTTTGGAGCTGCTCAGAGATCAAATACACTGCTAGCCTTAGGGTCACAGCTGAGTACACTGAAAACACATTTTTCAGGTCTCAGGTTAAACTTACCAATTATCAATGTCTAACTGTGTGATAGGACAGTTACAGTCTCTTCAAGTTCCTGAAAAACGCTTTTATGAAAAACATCACTGCATTTCTGAATCACAAGACCATAATTTTCAAAAAGTTATACCAAAACGCACGTTACTGGCATTAACTATGAAAACCCATTAAAAGCTCTCAAGTGGAGTCATCAGTTTTTCAGCATTTCCTGTCAGACTAAGAATTGGAAGATTTCATCCAGACACCACGCCACGAGAAGGTGTGACACATACAGATCAGCTAGAACCTTAAAGCAGAAAAAACTGTTTGCAGTGCTTTATAGTATCTACATTATCTACAACATGTATTCCTGGCCCACAAGATGTATCAAAGCTGAAGTTTGCATAATGAAATCAGAATACAGATTCAATATAAAGACATCACCTTAGATACACTAAGTTCACAACAATTACCTTTTCCCCATTGGAATGCACTTTGTCTAGGTATATGAACTCTCTGCAGCAAGCTGAAGATAACTTAAAAACTTGCCGAAGCACAGTGAACACTCACACGAACACTGAATCAGCAATCTCAGTATACAAATTCAGGATGTAATAGCTGCTGTTTTCAAAAACTCATGCAGAACAATTCCTGGTTCTCGGCTCTGGTGCACGTTCTGCGTGCTTGACGTATCTAGAGCTAGATAAATAGTGAGACACACCTTTCTTTGTATTTCAGAAAGCCAATGTCTCTCTCCTTCCAGTTATAAATGTCCAATTCTTACTACCTTCTCACTTTTTAAGGAAGCCTTACATAAGTGGTCCAATTCTTTTGCAGGTTTTTTTCTTTTTTTAACAGAAGTTTCGTTTTATTGGAACCAACACTTCTTCACAAACACGCTACCAAATTCCTTGCTTGGTTCAAACCACAAAGTGATTCAGTACAACTGCCAAGGCAGGTGCAAGTGAAGATGCACCAGTATTCTTTCACTCCTTTATTTAAGCAGACACTTTGTGGCTATTCATCTATAACCCACAGCCTCTGATTTCACCCTCTGCTCCTACTGTAAAAACAAAGACTACTTTGAGCAGCTACCAAACACCATCTGCAATGATTCCCCCTCAGTGGCCTCCCCCTGCTCTGCCACTGTAAGCCCCCACCTGGAGTGCTGTGTCCAGGCCTGGGGGCCCCCAGTATAGGAGAGATGTGGAACTGTTGGAGGAGGTCCAGAGGAGGGTCACAAAGATACTCAGAGGGCTGGAGCACCTCTCCTATGAAGAAAGGTTGAGGAAGTTGAGCTTGTTTAGCTTGCAGAATAAAGGGCTCTGGGGAGACCTCATCACAGTCTTCCAGTACATGAAGGGAGCTTCTAAGCATGAGGAGAACCAGTTTTTTGCATGTTCTGATATTGATGGGACAGGAGGGAAACAGCTAAACAGGTAAAGGTTTAGGTTAGATATTAGGAACTTTTTTTTTTACTCAGAGGGCAGCGAGGCCCTGACACCACTGCCCAGAGAAACTGTGGATGGCCCATTCCTGGCAGCATCCACAGCCAGATTAGATGGGATCCTGGACAGCCTGATGTGCAACCTGGGCAGCCGTAGTGGCAACCCTACCCACTGCAGGGGGGTGGGAACTGGATGGGCATTAAGGTCTCCTCCAACCCAAGACGTTCTATGATTCTATAACCCTTCACTAATGCCCCAAACGTTCCAGGCTAGCAAACACACTGCTGCAGGGCTTCCCTCCAGTAACACTGCTGCTGTCGCTCCCTGACACGATGCAAACACTGGGAAAGCAGCATATATCCCACAGTCATCTAGCAATACTTCTCTTTAAAAGCACAAGGTTGCATTCTAGAAGAATTCTGCTTGCTCCACAGACAGGTAAGCGGTAAGATCAAATATCTTCTTTCACACTGACATACAAGATATCCATGCACTAATAAAATGAAACAGTCACGCAGCAAGGAGAGAGGGAGGGGACTTCCTTTTATTCACCTGCGGTGACTGCCCCGCCGCTGTTCCACCCAGCAGGATCGCGGCACCGTCAGTCCATTCATTGCACGGCAACGACCGTTTCACCGCTCCCTCGAGGCGACGCGGGGCGCCCCGGGGCGAGGCAGCGGCGGGCCGGGCGGGCAGCGCTTCGCTCCCAGGCGCGGGCCGGGCATGCGGCTGTGCAACAAGAAGCTCCCGGCGGCGCGGCGGCGCTGCGCGGTGCTGCTCGGCTCCCTGCTGCTGGCCGCCGCCGTGGCGCTGCGCGGAATCGCCCTACCCTGCCGCGACGCCCAGCCGCGCTGCCGGGACCGCCTGTACGGGGCGCTGCGCCTGGAGCCCCGCTGGAAGCTCGACTGCGCGGGGGTGGTCCGCGGGGACGAGGAGGCGGTACGGGACGCCCTGGTGAGCAACCTGGAGGTGAGGAACAAAAGGCAACCCCTGAGCCCCGAGGAGTACCTGAACATGACGAAGGACTGCCGCAGCTTCAAGGAGGGCCGGCGCTACATCGAGTTCCCGCTGAGCGAGGAGGAAGCCGACTTCCCCATTGCCTACTCCATGGTCATCCACCACAAGATCGAGATGTTCGAGCGGCTCCTGCGCTCTCTCTACGCGCCGCAGAACGTCTACTGCGTCCACGTGGACGGCAAGGCTCCCGCCGCCTTCCAGCAGGCCGTGCGGGCCATCGCCGCCTGCTTCCCCAACGTCTTCGTGGCCAGCCGCCTGGAGAGCGTGGTGTACGCCTCCTGGTCCCGGCTGCAGGCCGACCTCAACTGCATGCAGGACCTGCTGCGGAGCCCCGTGCCCTGGCGCTACATCCTCACCACGTGCGGCACCGACTTCCCCATCAAGACCAACGCGGAGATTGTCCGCGCGCTGCGGGTGCTGCAGGGGCAGAACAGCATGGAGTCGGAGAAGCCGACGGCCTACAAGCGGGAGCGCTGGAAGTACCAGCACCTCGTGAAGACCTCCATCTCCCGCACGGCCACGGAGAAGTCGCCGTCGCCGCTGCCCTCGCCGATGTTCACGGGCAGCGCCTACATCGCGGCCACGCGGGCCTTCGTGCGGCACGTGCTGGAGGACCCCGCGGCGCGGCGCTTCCTCGATTGGGCCAAGGACACCTACAGCCCCGACGAGCACGTGTGGGCCACGCTGAACCGCGCGCCCGGCGTGCCCGGCGCCGTGCCGTACAGCGACAAGTTCCAGACGTCCGACATGAACGCGCTGCCCCGCCTGGTCAAGTGGCAGTACCTGGACGGCGACACGAGCCGCGGAGCGCCCTACCCGCCCTGCACCGGCCGCTTCCAGCGCAGCGTCTGCGTCTACGGGGCCGGGGACGTGGCCTGGATGCTGCGGCAGCGCCAACTCCTGGCCAACAAGTTCGACCCCGAAGTAGACGATGCGGCCATCCAGTGTCTCGAGAGCCACCTGCGCCGTAAGGCGCTCCTCGGCCGGGGGCTGTGAGCGGACCGCGGGCGGGGATCCTTCCGCGACCCCCGAGGCGAAGGGTCGGCGCGCTCCGAGCGCGGGAGCGGCGGTGCTGTGGGGCGGAGGGGCCGGGACTCCGCCCGCCGCTGCCGGCTCCACACAGAGGCGGCCCCGGAGTTCTCCGGCGGCCGTCGTAAGCGGACGAGCGCGCTGTTTTTGCACTCCGCGTGCCGTCTGCTCGCAGAAGTGACGCCGAAGGTTCGCTGTTAGGTCACGAGACGAGCTGAGGCGATGCAATTAATCGGACTGCCCGGCTGAACATCGGCTGCTGCACCTGTTTCGGTCGCTCGGGAGCCCTCTGACTGCTAGCCGTAGCAAAAGTGCCGCAAGAGCTCCTGGGTGCTCCGTGCCCTGTACTCACCTGAGGAAAGCTGGCTGTGCCCTCCAGCCCTTCTGCACCTGCAGCACAGGCACAGGACAGCTGTGTGGAGAGTAGTGCACAGGCCCACCTTGTCTGCCTCCTTCCTGCCTTTTTCCTCCACCCAGAGATTAGTTTTATGCAGTGCTCTCCACAGTGTAACTGCCACATCCAGGGGTGTGCTGGGCCTTAAGAAGAACAAAAACATCCAGTGCATTCTTTTTTTTACTTGAAGTTACTATGAGCTAGTTACTGAAGTTACTGTAAGTTGGTCAACTTTTGTATCTCACCACAGGCGCTTCACCCAGCTCTCCTTAAGGCCAGCTCCTTCCACACACCCAGCACATCCTCACAGAGAGGCCGAGAGTTTAATTCAGTTGCCTCTGTGCTGGTAGCATTTTTTCCTTAAGATTTTCTAATCAGTGAACACTTTCATCTTTATAAATTCAGCGTCTCGTGTGGGGAATGACCATCAGCCAAAGAACATCATCTAAATGTAGCGAGCTGCTGATTTCAGAAGCTCAATTATGACCAAAGCCGCGCAGTTCTTGGAAACACTGATTTAAGAAAGAAGTGATTAAATGACTGACTTAACAAGGTGTGCTGCTGTAATTTTGTTGGACATTTTAAAATGAAATGATAAATGCTGATTTTTGAAATGGCGCAGTGAAGCAGCAGTGATTGCTGTAGGCAAAAAAGGCAAGACAAGCTGTCAAATTAACAATGAATCCATCACTGGACATTTATTTATCATTCCCAACTTCCCCCCCCACCCCCCATCCTCCCCCTCTCCCCCAAAAGTGAGTAAAGCAGTAGGGTTGATGAGTCCATTGGGAAATGGTTTCCAAGTACTGTAAATAGAAATCTGCTCCTATGGAGAGTAAAGTTTCTGTTAGTAACATGTAAAACTTCAAATGGTTTCAGCAGCCAAATCTGCATTACATAACAAATATAGCCATGTGTAGTATGTTCACTTAGAACATCTGTGCTGAGCCGGAGCAAGAACTCACATTTCCCAGCATAGAAGACTGCATTCAAACTGTAGGTGCCTTCTCTGATTTTGCGTGTTGTAGCTCATTCATTCACTGCAGAGTAATAAACATTAACCCAAAGTGGTGAACTGCTGTCAGTGGTTCACTGGCAGAGCTGGGATAGATTCAAGTTTGGTTGATGTTTTTCCAGCCATGTGAAGAATTCTCTGAGCGCCTACAGAGAGTAAAGATGCTCTTGGGGCAGGGAGGAAACCTCAGCCTAAAACAGTGAAAGATTCCCAGAGGGACCTCTCTGTTGCTTAGTAAGTATCTCTAAAGTAAGATTTGTACTTACAGGTTGCTTACAGATTTATCACAGTAATTTCTGTCTCTGTCCTGTAGATACGTGCAACTTTTAAAGTTGTTTCCTCTCCCAGAAATACAAAGCATTGCTTATGCAGAATAAGTATCAGCAAAGGTTTTATCTGTGACTGACAGAGAGCCCCAAACAAACAAACAAGCAATCAAATGGAGACAGCGCAACAAGCACGTAGATCTGAAAACTATTAAAAAGCCACTTTGAATCAGTTTCACGTAAGTCTCGGCAGAGTCAAACTAACTTCTCTTTGAATATTGCATATTGCAATCTCTGCTCTTCCTGGTTAAAACATAGCATTTGTCCACACTGGAAAAAGCTTGCCTATTGAATAGGAATTGAATTTCCCCCTTCTTGGGGAACTAGGTTAACTACAAAAACACAAAGGTTTTTTTGCTGCAAACAAATGCCTGTTACATCACAAAAGCAGCATCTTATAGAGTGACAAATATGAAAATAATTACATCAAGACGTTTTTGAAGTATATTTATAGTCCTTAAATAGAGACCATCTGCCCAATTCACCAAGTGTTATTTTCAATCTGTCTACCTTGGACAGTTGGTTATTGATAAGTTCTAACTCTTAACTATTTTGGTTGAGAATCTTTGCTCCCAAATCTTTGTTGTAGGATTATGCCATTATATTTTGAGGCAGTTGATCATCTTTGGTGTGTTTTGGATACAGCCTTTTACACAGTACACCGTCAGTCAGACAGAAACAAGAGGGTGGAAACAAGGGTGGAAACAGTCAATGAGTAGTCAGACTGTCATTCTCTGTCACCTCATGGTTGTATGCACTCTTACAAAATGTTTACCTTTTCAACATGATTATGCTATTTTTACCACCACCAACAGCATTCGAAAATTTTACTCACAATTTATCTCTGATAATTTGGCTCGTAAAACAAAGGTATATCTTGTGCAAATTTATTTTAAACTCACCCTCTCAGTAGTAACCTAATTTATTCTGGGGGAACATGAGGCTACTCCCAAATTCAGAAAGTGAACTAAGATAAAAAGATTCTGGCACAGGAATATTCACAGCACTTCCTCTTCCACAGACATTAGAAATTTGACATTAGAAAGCAGTGATACAAATAAAAAAGTGAGGTATATTACTATGATCTGTAATGATAAGGAGACATAGAGAACATCACTGAATAACCACGTGTAACTTTGTGTTCCACACATCTCAAAGTGTCGCAGAAATAAGTTCAGTAGCATCTCAGAAAATTGATGACAGGGACACAAAGAAATGATGCAGTTGGGCAAGGTTAGCTGTAGAACTGAGGAGAACAAATTGCCAGCAAATTAGGACAAACCTCAGCCCAAAGTAGAATACAGAATCATCCCCCAAAACAGATTAAATACCCTATGAACTTCATCAATAAAATCCTGAACTAAGTTGGAAACAGTCACATCAGGAATTTTATTATTAGCTTGGTCCAGTGAGAGTATGAAAGGCTACTTGTGACCCCTCTGTCTACAGATCAGCTGCTAACTAACAATCTGATCATTAAACAAACCACCAGCTGCGTAAGGAGGAAGTGTGTTGCAAACAGCCACTCAAGGTATGCACAGGAGGAAGGAGAAACTACAATTCTGAAAATCTAACAACAGATTTAAAAAAAAACTCACCTGTCTTTAATCCAAATGTTTTTCACTTTTGCAAGAACAACACAGCGTGAGCTGAAACTATCATAACACATGCTGAAACACAGAGTCCATCAATGGCTTTTCTTCACTCTAGTCAAGAGCATCTATTTCCTTCTTGCTTTGCATTTATTCTGTGTTTTATAAGATCATCTCTGAGACGTCCTGTAATAAGGAAATGGGTCAATGGAAATAAATTTGGAGGAAAAATTTATAGGTAATAAATTTACAGGTAAATATTTACAGGTAAAAATTACAAACAAACTATGAAGAAGTACAACCTCCAGAAACAAAATACTGATAAAATACTTGCCACCATAAGCAGAATTGATTTGGTCATTGGTTATACCACCACAATCTGACTAACTTTTACAAAAAAATTTATCTTTGAGCAAAACTAATTTCCTAATTAAGTTTCTCCTCTTACGAGAGTGAAGCTTAAGGCTAGATCTCCCACTGCAGTTCCAGTTCCACTGGATACTCACTCAAATGCTCTTTCCTATGCTCCTCCTATTTATTATTTATTATTGAATTTTCTTCCCATGTCCACCCAGGAACTGTTAGAGCACTGAGAAGCAAAACCAAGCCACTAGTACGTTAACTGAAATACTACTTCCTATGTTGCTGAAGATGCAGCAAAGCAAACATCCAACATTGCCATTAAATCTTATCTACCTCATTGTACTGTGTTACAAGATGACCCTGACAGCTCCATACTTATTGTTCTTTTAATCTCTCTCTGATAACATTTGAAGCAGTACTCACAGCCCTGACTGAGCAAACAGCTTGCTTTAGCCAAGATCTACTTTTGTGCACTGGAGGAATTCACAAAAATCCTTTCCTCTCGTGGAATCCATGTTTTACACAGGCAGTCACCACAGCCATTTTTGTTCCGGGATTTAGTCATCCACTTTCATTTTTCCCCCAGATTCTTTTTATTTATTGCAAAGTTTCTTTCCAAATATAAACATTAATTGCAGCTCAAGGTCAAAATTATCTTTTGCTTTTTCTCCACTATGGACAGCTGGAAGGCACTCAGACTTTTCTGAAATAAATTGGAAAAAACAAGCCCCAACAAACCAGTGAACCAAGCCATTACAGCTGGAAAAACCAAACAGGTAGCAGCAAGCATGCTGATGCTCTAGTCAGTGACAGTTTTGCATTGGATATGAAAAAAAGTATCTTAGTACAACATGCAACACGCTTTTCATCTGTGTTGCTTTTTTTGGTACTTGGTTAACTTGGGCCAAACAAAAGGCTAATCAAGAACTTCAGTGGTATTTAAGCATTTGCACATTTTTCCACTATGGAAAGAATGGAGTGCTTTAAGTTTTGAGCATTTAAATTCATTTCAGAACGTCCATCTCCTTTTCAAATACTTCCTTACAAAGCAAGGCAACACGAATCAACAGATAATCAGAGCACATGGGGAGTATTACTGTTAGGCACCATCACCTTTCTCCAAAGGAACACACCCAGATCTCCACTACAACTCTTAACATTACTTTTTTTCCCTTTTTTTTGAACAAGTCATTAAAATTGTCTTGAATTTACGAACTGCCATTTCTGATCACACTCACATTGACTGGAATTTTACGAATTGCTGAGTAGCAGACATCTTCACCATTCAAATTATTTCTCCTTCATTTGAAATTTTTCTTTGCACATGTACACATGCAAGGAAGCAAATCAGTGCTTCTTAAGTTCTGTATTTTCTTTCAATTAACAAATAAAGTAATTCCAAGGATGCAAGTGCTAATGTAGCAATGTACAACTACTGAAAAACAAGAGAAGGCTGATGGAGGAGTATGAAGAAAACGCTAACAAATTCATTCCACACATAAACCTTACATCAGTGTAATGCTGCTGCCTTTTTTTTTTTTAATGGAAAAAGACTGTAGTGAATATGCTAATGCACATTACTTGGAACTGAAACCAGTATATACTTATTTACTTTAGAAAGGAATCCAAGGGTTACAAAAGAGCTGGAGATTGAGAAGCTTCGGTTCAGAGAGAAAAAGACTGCAGGGCTGGAGGTAGGAACAACTAACAGATTTCTTAGGGTTGAAATTCAGTTTGCCCCACAATTATCACAGAACATTTAAACATAGAAGATCGGGTAAGACAGAAAAAAGAGAAAACCACAGGAGGGTCACACATTGACATCCTTCAACATAATGACCTCAGTAGGCAATTACCATGCTGTTCAAATAAGAGCAATAGTCTTGTTTTTTGTTTGGTTTTTTTTTCAGAACAGTTTCTTATCAAACTGCAGTACACAGAAGACATTTTAACAGATACAGGACAAAAGAAAAATTGTAATCACAGTACCTGGAGATGTCTGTGAAGCAAGCCTGTGAAATCCCTTCATGCAAAGAAAAAAAATAAATCTTGTCTATGGAAGATATTCCAGGTTTGAAGGGGGAGCTGGATGGAAGGATTCTAATTTATCCTCAATAACTGAGGCTTTCAGTGCTCATCACTTCTCCCACTTCTAACTGAGAACATGAAATTTCTCGTTTTAAATACGTTCTAAATACCTATTCCAGGCCAAAGTCATGCACAAAGAGTGATTAGATAAACATAAAAATAAGCAGCACCAGTATTTTTTTAGAACACAGTGCAATCCTTAAGGTTCTCTTTCATGAGCTACGCAGTGATATTTTAATACTCAAGTCAATGTATTACTAGCACAGAGTACACAATGGATTTGGTATTTACAGAT